TAATTGTTAAAATGTCAATGCTATTTTCACGCACTGACTAGTTGTACACTTCACTATTATTTCAAAAATGTAGTGTTAGATGTTAGTAATTCATGTAGTATTGTTGCACCTTATCGTGTTTCTTACAACTGAAGGATATACAACATTATACTTCTGGCACTTTATAAATCAAACATTAAATAAAGTTTACCAATCTCTTCTGAATAACATAAGGATAGTGTTCCAACTTCCACAGAAATTGTTAGCTCAATACAATTGCAAGCTGTAATATTTGTGATAATTTTGGAATAAATAAACTATATGAAATAATTATTACAAATCTGTGATGGACAAAAAAAATTGGTCAGACTATCTTATGAAAGTTCATGTTATTAACACTTCTTACAAAAAAGGAATGAGGAGATAGAGATATCTCTGCATCAAATCCAGAGAACCCTCTCATATGCAAAACGAAGGAAACTTGAACTGACAATGCCTCACCACAATCAGTGCTTGAATTATTAAATAAACAATATTCTAATTCACCTAATGCTTTGAGAAAAAATGGAAAACTTAACTAAAATTTATTTACAAATAATGACACATGATCTCACTTCTTTTATTGAACACAAGTCTCCATATAGGTATAATGATTGTTTGATTGACAGAATTACACTTTAATCCAGTACTGCATATTGAAACTTTGATATTTCTCTGACTTCACTTACTTTCTGGTTACAGAAAGATTACAATTCAAGTTACTGATCAACTTTCTTTGCTTAAAAAAAACTTTCTACATTCAAATTTTGCTTTTACAACTCTATTAACAATATACTTACAGTGCAGTTAAAGGCACATATATATATAAAAAAATGTAACTTTAATCTTCAATATCAGATCTCTGGAAGATTATGTACATATACAAGCGCCAATATTTAAGCTTTAAACAATAACAAATATCTTGTATATAAGGCTCTTGATAATATTTCTACTTTTTTCTTTTCAAATTCAGAAATGAAGTATAATATCTTCATTGATTTATTCATGATGAATAGAAAGTTGTGTAAAGTGCAAGTGAACAAAATCTGATATTCACATAGACTTTCTTAACTACAACCTCTCTCCTACTCTAAATACATTTATTCATACTAATAACTAGTTATTTTCCAGATGACAGTATAAATGCTAATTAAGCAACATGTCTAAAAGGATCTGGTTTATCATGTCCAACTTGATAAATAATAGTAAAAAATACCCATTGAACATGATAGAAGAGTTAGTAAAACAAGTTAAAAACTTAACTGAAATGTAAACGTTTATACAATAACTCACATTATTAAGTTAAAATAAATGTTATTGCATGTGAAGTAAAACAGAACTGAAGTATAAGTACAAGTGAAACAATAATCTTGGTATTCATACAGCTGAAATTAAACCCTAAAGAAGTAATCTGAAATTTAATTATATTAAAACTTTTGTGTTATGTTGTAGAAAAATACTTCAATCACAGTTTTCCTTCACAAAGATTTTAAAATTACACTATAAATCACACACACAGCAAATTGATAAATAAGCTTAACTAAATAAAAAGTTCACATTAGAACTCAAAAGTAACACTTGCCTGATAGTTTGTGACAAGTAAGAAATGCATTCAGACTAGTTGCATGTGACACCCTAGTCTGAAGAGGTTAGTGGTTTCATAGAGTAATCTATTATATTTTTTACCTTATTCACATCTGATTTATTGCTTGTTTCATAACAAAACAGTGACTAATTTTTCAACTTCAGCAGGCTCAAATTGCTTATTTCTAAAAGAATAAAATGAAGTAATGTAACAGCCAATTTGAAAATATAATTTTTCTTTATCTGAAAATGTATTTCCGATACTCACCTCTTCGAACATAATAGCTTCTTTCCTCGAGTTTGCATGATCTGCCAAAGAGACTTTCAAGCCACCAGCCTTGTAAAAACTCCCACCTAATTTCACATGAAAACATGAATTTGCACCAGTGCATGATGACATAATAATGCAGCAGAACCTCCACCAACAGAAGTGCTACATATTTCCATGTACAATGATGCCCTCTAAATTTGTGCTCATGAATCCTCAATCTTTGGCAAGGCAATAAAGAAATGTGCACTGGAAAAGTGAGGAGGATAGATGGGAACATGTGTGGAGGTGAGTATCTATTGGAACTACATTTTCAGATAAGGAAAATGTTAGTTTCTGAAACGGATACGCATCTCCACAGAATAGATAGAATTAGATGTGGAGATTGAGGAGGGATTAGTGCAAAGATTACGTAGATGGTCTGTCTCCATGGGAGTCAGCATCTCATCTAGGATACATTCTTTACCCATGTATGAGAAGAGAAGAGACAGAAAAGGCATAAACATGTCACAAGGATGGGTGGAACAGGTATATGGCCATCTGTGTACTTGCAAACAAGCTGTCAGACAGTTAGTGTTTAGTGATGTTGGGTCTCGTTCAAATCATACCTAGTGTGCTCACCACCTCTACCATCAGACTCTATAAGTCAAAATCAGCTGTGGAAGAAGGGTGCTTGTAATGAGTATCCATGATTACCTCCTCTATCATCAGATACTACAGACTTCATGCCAGCTGTGGAAGGAGAGCACTGTATGGAATCCTGTCAGTATGGATACTTTATAAACTTCTACTCAACCATCAGTTCCTGGTGTATAAGGTGTGGTCATCTCAACTCTAACATCAGTCACAACAGGCCTCAGATAGAAGTAAGATTGGAAGAGGTGAAAGATTGGAACACAGATACAGAACAGAGAAAAGGAGAAGGTCAGGTTGAAGAACAGAAGTGGAGGGGCAAGGTTGAGACAAATAAGAAACTAAGAAAGTACAGGAAGATTGGTGGTGGGCAGCTTCAACTCGTGATCCAAGGAAAGCAGGAACAGCACCAAAATCCTCCAAATGAAGAAAATGGGCCAAATTGAACAGGAAGAAGGGAGAAAGACTTGAGACAGTATGGTATCCCTTACTAAAAGTTCCAAACAATAAAGGAACCATGTGAGAAGAGAAAGAGTAGAGGAGGTGGAACAGACCATTGTAGAGGAGAGGAGCACTTTAGAATTCCCAAAGGAGTCATCAGGAGAATGGTGAAGCACTTCTGTCATAAGATGAAGAAAGGAGATGTACCTAATGAGGGTAGAGAGAAAGGCTCAAAGTTTGTAAAATTGTACATTAGATAAAGAAACAGTTGATAACGAATCTGGTCCCCAAACTGGTAAGAGTGACTCCAAAGAATGGATTTCAAGGAATTTGGAAGTTTGAATGACCATGTGCAAGAACATAAGAATGAGTCAGGTGAGAGGGACGAGGCATAAGGTTGTGGGAATGAAATTGTTCTAGAAAGGAATTGGCATGTTCAACAATGTCAGGGGAGGGGGAAAACAAAGAAACTGTAGGGGAAGGGTTGTGTAACATAGAATGGAGAGAGTCAAATTATATGAGAGAGAAAACTGTACATACCCAAGTAAAATGGTTTTCAAAATCAAAAGAAGACTGAAAGTGTTCTTTAGTAGGTAAAGATGTTCCTAAATTAAAACATGGACGTTGAAAAAGGCACTCAAATTCATCCTTCTCAACTATAGGCTCAAGGCTCAAAAGAAAAGGGAGCGAGTGAAAGGGACTGAAACAGAGGGTCCTGGCTTTATCATGGACCCCACCACGTCTTCTGCTAATAAAGAACTTCCCACCAAATTATTGGTATTTTGTTCAATGTGAGGAACACTTTCACTCATATCAGCAAAAGAACTATTCACATTAAACTGTGAATTCATACTGAGGATGTTAAAACTTAAGTGAAAGTTGAAAATTGAAAAAGTCTCAAATCTCTACAAATTCAAAACACATCTGATCACAACAGTATTGAGGCAAAGAAAGAAGATTCACTAGCGCAAATGTAGAGGGCATCATTGCACATGTAAGTGTGTCACAATCCTATTGGTGAAGGGATCTGCTGAATGATCACATCATCATGCAGTGGCACAAATTTATGTAGTGAGAATAGGTAGAAGCTTTCACAAGGCTGCTTCCAAATCTTTTCGGCAGATCATATGAACTTAAAAGGAAAGAAGCTATTCTTTGTGAAGAGTTGAGTATTCATTTCAGAATTGTTTTTTCTCTGCAACACAACATTGCTACACTGCTCAATTTGTTGATTCAAAGACTACAATCACAGCACTGTACCAATCCAAAACTTTTGTGTATATGTGTATGCTATATTTACAAGATTTAATCTATTTTTCAAATAGATCAAATACTGTTTAATACTTGCGTACAAAAGTGCATTATGTTAATACAATAGTAAACTGAAATGATTTATAAGTGTTAAGCATAGTGAAAATTATTTTATGTAGAGAACATACTATACATATTAACAGAACACTAGTCTATCAGGTACCTGAAGAAGACAGACCAGTGTTATAATGAAAGGTATACTATGTTCTCCATATAAAGTAATTTTTATTATGCATACAAATCATTGTTTATCAATTTACTATTATTGTTTATAGATTTTTTAAAATATTTAGATTTTGAGCATTTTAATAGCTTTTATAGATATACTTGTAGCTGAAAAGTCTTTAAAAAACACATTTTGTTGACAGTTTTATTGACAAACAATTTCTGTGTGACTAGCCCTGAACTGTGACCTATTATAATTACTAGCCAAAATGGACTAGTGGCATAAAAAGTTAATGTATAGCTCAGGATAAACATTCTATCTACTCTAACATACTGATTTCTTTATCAACAGTTTACTTACACTAACCACAAATAACCATTTAATATTGTTATTTTACATGAAATGATTTTACTTATAGCATTAAAAAAAATCTTAAAATTTAGTGTTTTTAGAAAATGTTTTTTTCCCCACATAAAATTCTTTGATAAGTAAAATACTAATAAACTTTCACAAAGAAGATTGAAAGCAAATATTGAACTTTCATTTTTTCATTATGCTGTGAAAAAAAACAAATAATGTAGAAGATAACTAAGACGATTTAGTCTGTTTGAAATATCTAGTCAATATGTTGTTCTTAGGTAAAAGATAATTAAGTCAACATGGTCTGTTTGAAAGATCCAGCCAACACTGTATGTTGCTCTTAGGTAAAATATAACAAAGTTAATACCATCTGTTTGAAAAATCTAGCTAATACTGTTTGCTGCTGTTATATATAAGAAGGTAAAAGAAAACTAAGACAACATAGTCCGTTTCGAAAATCCAGCCAATATTGTATACTGTTTTAAGGCAACTTGCATACAATGTTAAAATACTGAAGTTATACAAAAACATTATTTTTTTTATGTCAGTATAAACCCTAGCCAAAAAGAATTCTGCCTAATGTATTCAAATTTTCAAATGATTACTTCTGAAGACTAGACTATTATGTAAAAGAACATTCCATAAATGAATGTATTTTCTTTTTTAGTGGAATAGTAAAATGAAAAGCATTGCCAAATATACTTATATTACCTTATAAGCACTTAGGGAACTGGAGCAGTACATCCTATTCAGTAATATGTTCCTTCATTAAAGCTAAATTTCCAACTTCCAAAGTATAAAACCAAAGAAAAAAATAAAGTTTTTACTGAAATCTTACACTCTTTAATCTAAACAAATAATTAGAAGAGCATGAATTCAGCTACGTTTTCTTTAACACAGTACTTTTAAATGTACACGGAAAGATCTCAATGGAAAGGTGAATTTTTCTTGAGTCATTTCTTTTGAACATTTATTATTAGTTAATAACATTATGATAACTTCAGTTTCAATTTAAAAAATAATTTAAGTTTACTTTACATTCAACAATAAAATGATTCACTGCAAATTTTTGAATGTTTCAGATCATGTTTTTGAAACAGTTTTACTAAGAAAATAACATTTGTCTCAACTGTATTGTTTATTTACATTTCAACAACATTTTAATAAAAACTGAAAAATATTACTGAGAGCCTAATGTTTTCCACTGTTGATGTTTCTTTTTGACATGATACAATTATAAATATTAAATTAGTTACTAAAAGGTAATTTTAAAGATTGCTATATTTAATTAACAATAACTTATTAATTCCCTAGGACATTACTGTCCTGTAGTTGCAGAATTCCTGTATTTAACAAGCTTTGCAAAGAAGGAGTAACTGCTAAGCCTATATGAAGCACCAAATAAATCCAATGGCTATAAGTGGATAAATAAGATTAATTTCATTGTTGTTGTGAAAGCTGATAACTAAAATATTATCTATGTAAACAATATACATTTCTTTCAAGAAACAAAATGTATATTATCTACTTTATTCTATCAAGCTTATGTTATCAAAAGTTAGACTTCTTGTGGATATATCGATTCATTTGGAATAATTGACTCTCTTTTCTTCAGCAGTTGATACAGCATGCCCTTTTCTTCTGCATTATCTGGAAAAATATCCAATTAATAGGAGAAAGTACTACTGAATTAACACAAGCCAGCAGGTGGAATGAATTACAGTTAAAGCAGACCCATATACTGTTAAAATAGATTCAGCTGTTAAAATTAAAAAAAGTGATTTTAACTACAAAATTTTAAACAAGATAGATTAACTTATTTTCACTATATTTTAATGATTTAAAAGAAATGTTTACTAGAAAAACCTCATATCTACCTACCTGTTTTAACTTTTGGCACTCGAGAGACTGTACCACACTCAACCGTGGTTTCTTTTAGTTGAGGTGAGCATGGTTTCTTATTAGAGAGAGATGATGACAGATCTAATGGATCATCTGAAAATTATCATTTATTACTTAATCTGTGATTAAAACATATAACAAATGTGACTTCTATTTTATGACAGTGATCTTTAACTACTTTATACTAATGTATAGCCCATCAAAAATGATAGGGCAGGTACTACCACCCCCCAACCCATAGTATATCCTACCCTCACATTTCATATCTGACTGAAATAAATAAAGTTATGCAAAATCAAGCTTGACTAACAAAGAGGCAGAAAAATGCAGTAAAACGTCGGTAAATTCCTTTGTGAGCAAATCAAAATTAAGATCATTCATGTAATGAATTTGTGGTGTATACATAGAATAATTATTGGTAAAAATCAGTTAGATAACAACTTCTAATATATAGAAAAGCCAGTGTGTTTTGGTAATGCTACATTCGAACAATGGCTTTTATGTCATGTTGATTAGTAACAAGAGCATAAAGTAAAATATTGTTATTCTCCATGTACCGAATGTATAAAATGAAATGTGTACACAAACAAAACTGGAAAAATATTTGTTGATTTCTAAATTTAGTCTCCATTGATTAAAAAGGTTTGTTTTTTATTTAAAATGGTGGTGATATAACAGAAAATAACTCAATTCAGAAACAATTTAAGTTTAATACTGAATCGATATTTTTACTTTCATGATAAATCTTATGCAAGTGGTCCTAGGCTAGGTGATCCAACTACATCTTTATTTTAGGCTTATTATACCAACATCCACCACACTTGTAAGATTTCACCCCCCCCCCATGACCCCCTTGCATCCTGTCACTAAAATCATTTTGGCTTTTATGACTCCTATTTCTAGAAATAAAAATAAATCAAGCATGATGTGACACACACTGGCTTTTATATAGCTTAGATACTTTTTATAAAAACATCAAAATACAGATATGTTGATCTTTTAAAATTCACATCAGCTACGAAAGGCACAGGTTAATGAAAAAGCTAAGTTTGTAGAAAATTTAGACAAAAAAAAAAAAAGAGAAAGAAAACGAAAAAAGAGAAATGAGTAAAATATATCTAAGCAATCTTCACATTTATCTTTATTCTACTTAGAATAATGCTATGCCTCAATTTTTTCCAACTACATTCCTCTGTCTTTAACTCTCTCTCTCTCGCTACGAGCTCAGTCGAATCAACTGAGTTGTGACCCCAAATTAACCTTAATAGTTTCCATACTATAACTTCTACTATGTTTTGTGTATCTTCATAAAATTTTTAAAGCTTTCAGTAATCATTAAGTCATTTGTAGACAAAATGTCAATTTCTGATGAAGTATTTTCACTAAAAATTTCTTCATGAATATATGGAGTCAAAGGGATGCTGTATCAGGAATTTCACTTGTGCAACAATGCATACTGTAACTCTGACATTTCTTGATGTATCCTCTCAAACACTGGTAAGATTTTGTTAAAGATCATAACTTATACATAAAGAATAAGATTATTTTAATTAGGTATTTTTACTAAAAATATGTTATACATCTATTTATCTAGTTACTTGCACTCAAACTCTTAATAAATCAAGTAGAAGGTGATTTTTGTATTAAGTATAAAAATACTTTTCTTGATCTTAAAGTTTTCATATTTCATTTGAATAATTTCTAGAATCTCTTTAATGAATATCAAGTTTTTTAAGGTAAATGTTTATATATATATATATATATATTATTTTTCTATTTTCTCTATCATATCACTAACTAGCTATTATGATCAACATTCAATACAATAAAATGATTAAAATTAGGAAACAGGAAAAATACATTCCTTTTAATTTTTTGTAAAATAACTTTATACTTCTTTTGGTTATATTTGCGATTTTGGGTGTTTTCCTTTTCACATATAGTTAATTTTTAATGCTTTCATTTCTTGTCCTTTTCCATTTATTATTCATCTTGACACAAGTAAACGGTGCCCTCAGGGCATATTACATATTTATGGGAGAAGTGTGCAACCCTTTGTCAAAATTTTCATGCAATGGATAATATCGTAAGCTTTGAGAAATGATGCAAGGTATGATGTACATTTAAAAATGTTTAAACCTTTCAATTATGCATTTTAATACATAAATAATACATAATTACCTAAAATATAAAAGTAAAACCTAAATAAAATTTAACTGTATCTCTAACTATAACATAATTAGGTAAGAAACAACTGTAAATGCTATAATTAATCAAGCAGCCAACAATACTACAGGCAATTACATGCACCTAGTGACGAAAGCTGTATACCAATTTCAAAATAACCATTGTTGGATTATAGTGTAAAATGAGCTCTTTCTAATGACCATATACATGTGTATTTACTTTATAAATATAGGCTACAAAGCTCAAACAAATCTATTGAAGGTAGGTGTGACACCAGTCAGGGGTTAATGAAATGTATTACTTGTTTCAACTGCATTCATCCAGAGAACTTTGAAATGTACATGTCAATAAGATAAGTAAACATCTTCTTGTCTACATGTACATCTACACAATTGTGATTATATAATTGAAGATACAGAGACCCAAGGTAGAGAATTTTATAGCTTGTGGGTCATGTGACAATACATCTGAAGTTTTTAAAGGTTTCTTTTGAAATAAAGGATTTAATACTTGGATAACAAAACTTTGAATTATAACATACATTATATGTTAATTTCATTCACAAAGATTGATAGTAAATGTGTTTAATTAAGTTTTGAATGTAACACAGTGACTTGCGCAAAAAAGTGTTTAAAGGGGTACCCAGTGCAAAAAGAAAAAAGAGAGAGTTAAATTTACAACAGTATACATCTTTTTATACTTAAATTTTGTTTTATTGCTCTTTTATCTGTGAGTAACTGATATTCCCACCATAAAATTTTTAAATCACTTGGTGAATGTGCAGCTCATGTGAAAACATTTCATATTATTATTTATTTCACCTAATCTAGCCTTAACTAACATAAAAAGTTACCTATTTTATAATAATAAGTAAAGAATATATATATATATATATGAAAAACAAGGAAAAAAGTACTTACCTGGATCTTATTTTTGCTGTTGATGACACTTAACTCTATTTTTTATACTAATAATTTTTTGTTTAATTATATAATGCATCAAAGAATACAGAATAATAACTTGTAAAAAAGCAGATAATGTCCCATAACTATTACAATTTTTCTGGCTTTCTAACTCTGCGACAAGAGACATTATGAATTCAGCTAACATTATCAATGTGTTTTCTGTGGGAATAAAGTTTGAACTCTTAAGTGAAATAGACAATTCTCTGTAGAGAAAACAATGTAACATAATATGTCATTTGATAGATTAAAACATTGGCTTTCTATTGATTACAAAATAATATAGCACTAAAATAAGAGAGAACTACTGACAATTTCTGAAAGAGAGTATATGACAGGTGGGTGTGGCAAGAGGGGACTGATTTTTTTTGTGGCTCTGTAACTAAATATGTTTGAAGGCTATAAAAGTTATGCTTTGCCTGCGCGATGACAACATTCTAATAAGTAATTTATGTTCAATTTCATACTTTTTGGAGGGGTGGTAAATAAATTAAAGAGGGAATGCCTAGAAAGAAAATGTCACTGTTCTCATACTAGGGGAATTAAGGGTTTATTTAAATATTGCCATAAAAAATTAAGAACTTAAAACTTATATACTATTAAAATTTGGATTATTATCTACATGTTTATGCCACATTTATTGATATATCATGATAAGAAAGTAGTTTAAATAAATTTTGAATGTAACTCACTAAAACCTCCTGACACACACAGAAAAAAGACGCCAGTAGCAAAAATGTTAATTCTAAAACCATGAATCATTTAAATTTTTTTTCCTTGCTAATATAATGAAGCTTATATTGTCAAATAAATCATTTCAGATGTAAAACTGGTTGAAAATTACAACTACACAAGTGGGCAGTATTTTATACTAGGTCTGGTTAAATGACAGAATGAAAAATAGTTTAAAGAAACTTCAAGGTTGTTTACCTGATATTTCAGCAGAGGCTGCTATTCTATTCCATGATGCTTGAGCTAAATTGTAGGCATAAGGGTAGTATGAGTAGAGGTGAGGATACAAATGAAGATAAGAAGCTAAATCAACTGATCTGCTTGATATCCAACTTGGTATTTCTTCTTTTTCTTGAGAAGAGGAAGAATAATTGCCTGTAACTTCTATGTTTCTTAGCTTCATAGAAGAATCCTCTTGACTGAGACAGTTAACCCCTGTAAACGAATAATGATATACATTTATTAGTTCTTCTGAATACATCAAAAATTATTCTTCTGTACACAAAATTTACCTCATGAGCAATAAAGTTTCAGCACAACTATGGATTAATCTAAGTAGTGATACATTATTTGATTTAGTTTCCAATAATGTCAGTTAAACATATATAATCCATTTGATCTAAGTACAGCTATTTTCGGGTGGGTAGTAGGATGTAAATGTCAACTTTTAGATAAGTATATTAGATACATTACTCTGTAAATAGTAAAGGCAACATTTATCAGAAATGAAGAAATTCAAAACTACACCATAAATTTTAAGACTATTAATACAGAAGTGTTTATCTGTTTGCTATAGATAATTATTCTTAATATCAGCATTGTGATTTTACTTGTTTCTCATGTATAACAATTTATTAACACTTTAAACTTCAAACATATCTCCAAATCAAACTGTGAAAAACTTACAAAACCTAGTTTAGATGTACAGGGCAACAAAACTTTTTTTTTAAACCTGCAATGCATAGGACTTAATATTCTTTATTTGAATGTTTATCTGCATATAGTCGTTTGTTTGTTTGTTTATTTGCAGTTAAACACAAAGCTAAACAATGGGCTACTGGTGCTGTGCCTAACATGGATATTAATGTCCTTTTTTTATCATTATACCTCCAGAGACTTGCTGCTGCTGCTGAGCCACTCAGGGTTGCATGTGATCTATTATTATTATTATTATAATACCTATCCTGCAATTCATGGAGACAAACCATGGTTTACATGTTTTATTTAACATATTTTTAATATCCCATTTTTGTTTTCTTTGGAATATTATGTGAAATTAGCACTTCTAAGGTTAATAAATATATCTTATTTAATTAAAGGAATAATCAGAATAAAATGTTTATATACTTGTTTTTTTGCTAAATACAAAATAACAAAGAATAATTTTACCAGAAGCAGCAGAGACACCATTCATGTTCTCCACACAGTCCGTTGGATAAGTTATATTGTTGATCGGCATGGTCAAGTATGTTAGATCGGCTAGTTGTTCTTGGTAACTTGTTAAAGACTTTTCACTTTCCCACATGTGGGTTGGAGACAGTAAGTTTGGTTTGTTACTACAACTAGTCCATGAAGTGCTTGTTAGATGGAAAGTACTTGTGGCACTACTGATTACAGGGGTAGAAAATGGTGGTGGTTTAGTTGTGAGACTAGGCCATCTAGTGTTCAAAGAAGGTTGGTTTTTAACGCTACTCACAGGGGAAGAAGCTGGAGACTTGAGGAAAGACACACAATGTTGTGAAGAGGGAGAGAGCTTTAGCTGATTGGAAGACTGAGAGCCCCTGAACTCACATGGATACGAAACAAATTCACCTGGCCATGACAAGTTCTTTGGTTTTTCACTACCAATGTTTAGCTTTCCATCAGTTTGCCAAACACTCTCCGTTGTTTGTGATTTATTAACAAATGACTGGGATGGTTTCACAGACAAATCTATTGGCACTCCTCCTGGAAAAAATACCAAATACAGCCCCGGGTTTTGTATACACATATTTCATTTTCTTAATACAAGTCAACAGAAAAATAATTTAAAAAAATTTTCAACTGTAATCACTATGATTTCTTTGTATTTTTGAAATGCATCTTCCATTAACATATGCTATACACTCAAATTATCTGTCAAACACAAATTAAAAATATTTCAAAAAATATATTAGTGGGTTGATCAAAATTCACAAAATCCTATATTTTAATCAAAAATTAAATTAATACATTGCATTTTGAGTACATTCTGAAATGTAAAAGTTTATTTCTTGACAGCAGCAATAAAATGTGCACAGTTTTTATACTCGTATTAAAACTTGATGAAAAAAAAAGAATCATAAACTATGATAAATACCTGACTCTTTCATAAGCTTTGTTAAAAATAACAGCACAACACACACATATGTATATGTAAACACCTAGAATTCATCACTACCACAGGTGTGATACTATTTTAAATGTGGAACTAAAAAGAATTGTGAATCAAGCAGGATAAAATACATTCATCTGAAAGGTTAAAAATAATTAAACCTTATGGATAAAAAAATTTGGAAATAACTTACTTTTTTTGCTCAGCTCATAAAACTTCTAAATCAATCAGATTAATATAATAGAATAAACCAGCTTAATATACACAAGTGGTGGTCAAGGGAGTTTTACTTTGATAATAACACTAACCTTTCTTTATGTTGTTAAGCTTGTACGAACATCTGTTACTAGTATCAGTTGCTTCTAAAGCAGTTTTCAAAACAGAAGGATAAGAAACAGGCACTGATATCAGAGATTTACAAACTGAAACACCATATTTATGGGAGATTTTCTCTTCATAAAGGGAGCCAAACCCTTGAGGTTTCTGATGACAACCAGAACCAAAGAAAGAAGTTTGCTTTCTACTATCATTATCAAGATGGTTACTAGGAGACATGGGTTCTGGTTTAATAGATAGTTCTTCTTTCACAGGCCATAATTCCTTGGACTTAAACATTTTTTTTGTACCATATTTATCTGTGGGACTTTGGAGAGGGGACACATCACTATCATTTGGGTCTGAACATACACCAGACAGGGGAGAGAGGGTTCCCTCATGTGGGGTGGTTCTCTCAAGATGTCTCAAGTCACTTGAAGGTGGAGAAAGTGGTGAGTAAACAGGTAATACAAAGCTTTCTTCTGGCCAAATAACAGCAAAGTCATTTTTCAGTTTGGCTTTCTTAACAAAGCCTCCTTCGACCTCCTCAAGATCGACACTAACAGATTTTCTACCATCTTCATGCTTAACAAATGTGGCTGTTTTATCAACAAAGTTCTTCTTACATCGACGCAATTTTCGTGGAAAGGGAACTTTTGGAGTATCTATAGACTGTACCCACTGGCACTGGTTTCCAATAGCATTAGATTGTTGTTGGGCATTAAGTTTTAGTACCAGCTTTCCACCTAAAAAAGAAAATTATAACAAGTATACAAAACTCATTAAGCTGGTGCTGAACTGAAAGATAGGGTAGCTGTTTCAGTAATATGCTACATTCATAAAAAAGTCTCAAATCATCCAAATATTGTTCAATATACCAACTATAATCATTGAACAGTTCAACTAAACCTTCAAACATTTAAATAATGGAATAAATTTAATTATTTGAGAAATTTATGAATGTTATGTTATCACATAATATTTAAATTTAACTGGTACACACTCTTCAACGGAGAGTAATTGTATAAAATATTTTTGTCTGTACATGTGAAGATGAATATTATTACTTCACATATTTTTCCAATAAAACTTAAAACCCTAAATGAAGAGAGAAAAAAAAAAACTTACGAAAATAGAATTTAAGGCTTCCAAGAGGTGAGGTTTCTTGATCTGGAGTGGCAGGTACTGGCTTGGCTTTCATGGGTGTAACTTCTAGAGCTGAAGAAATGGTAGGTAAATCACCCTGTAATTCGTTTTCTCTTTCTTGTTTACTTTCCTCTGATTCATCAATATGTTCTTCTTGTGTTGATAAATCTGGTTCTTCACTACTTTCAGCAGAAGTGTGAAGTTCTCCTGGATCCTCAGAGTCCACACTTTCTTTCTGGTTAAAACAACAAGTCAGATTTGACTTTTATACTTTTTTAATGATTCATTAAAATCAAGAAATGCAAATCAAAATGTGATCAATCACTCAGTATTAGTGTAACACTGGCAAGTTTCCACTAACTACAACCTCAAGATGTTGACATTCAAGGTATTCATAAGAATATTATATTCAGAGAAAACAAACTTTGTTATCATGCATGCAACAGTAATCATACACAAGATAAACAATTGAAGAGAAGAATAAACAGTTATTTTACAGCAGATATAAAAAAATTTCAACTGTCATGTTACACAATTCTAAATATGTTTAGCACTGAAAGAAAAAACCTACAGTGTTATAACCAATACAAATTACCATTTACTAAGCACATAACTTTTCCTTAAATGTATGTTTATATAGGGTGTCTTAAACACTTCTAAAATCTTATTCATCAAAATATTACCATGACTGTTATGAAATAAAAATATACATAATGAAGTTCAGACTAAACCATCCTATAAATTTCATCAATCCATAAAGGGATCTTTCAGTCTGTGAAATCCGCAGATATCAGTTTTATACAGTAGTGAGTTATAAAAATTTCAGCATATAGGGTGAGACATACAAAGTCCATAAATTTTTGTGGTTTGATAACAACTGCATGAGGCATCCACAGAAAAAATGATTTGTTAGTTAGTTCCTAAATCTTTGCAACCCCAGGATAAAATAATAGACTTTAATGTGAATTTCATTTTCTTGTGTTCCTACAATTGTGTTTTTCCTTTGCTGCATTTGTCTTGCTAGATATCTAAAGTATTTCCAACTACCAGATATTCTTTACTAGTAACTTGCTAAACCCACTAGCTCCTGTAATTCCTAGTTCTTTAATAGCCAAGTATGAATATTATGAAAAATTGTGATGCTTGAACAACTTATTTAACAATATGGAATTTTTTTTAAAAACATTACACTACTTCACATAAACTATGAGTAAGCATTATTTTACTATGTAGTAGCTGTAATATAAAAAATCAAAAACTTCTTAAGTCATAAAATAATAATAATGAAGTTTACAATTTTGATCCTAAAATGAACTCTATCATGATTATTTAGTTCTCAGGTTTCTTATTCTACAAACTTTGCATTACCAATAAGCATTTACAATATAGAGGTGGAGTACATTATATTAACTATCTCGCTACAGGCTTGGCTTATTCAGCCAAATTTGTGACCCAAAATTAATATGGTTGGTGTATCTTTACAAACTTTTGCAAGCTTTCAGTAAGTATTACAAAGTCTTTTGTACATAAAAAATAAGCACTTTTAATAAATTTGACTGATCTTATAATCAACTTAAAAAAATACAAAATAAATTTAAATTACTCCTTTTTTCTAGGACTGCAAATTGTAAAAGGAAACAACAGTTTTTATCCTAAATAGGTTAAAGCTCATAACAGTATAAATCTATTTAAAATTAAATTTTATTTTATTGCCCTTTGAACCATGTCAAATTAATAATCCCACCACACAAGTTTTAAATCACTCAGCAAACATGTAGCTCATATTACACTATTGAATTATGTACTGCATGATCATATCTAATTTAATAAGTTTCTAATTTTTTACACGTTGGTTACCTTTTATAATAATAAATAAAGAATACACATGAAATATAACACTTGCCTGGATCTTCTGTTGTTTTTTTTGCTGTCAATGAAACTTAACCCTACTTTTTTATACTAACAATACTACTACGCTAAATAATTAATTTTTTATTTAATTAAATAATGCACCTAAGATCACAAAATAACTACATATTGAAAGCAGACAATGTCCTATAACTATTTTTCTGGCTTTCTAACAATGTGATAAGTACCATTAAAAATTCAGCTAAGCTCGTCAGTGTTTTTCCGTGGGAATAAAGCTTGAACTAGTAGCGAAACAGACAATTCTTTGTAGAGAAAACAATGTAATATAATACCTCATTTGATAGATTAAAACTGCAATGAATGGGTCCTGGTGCCATGCTGATCCATAATCCTTTGTTTTCTAACACCATTAACTCTTTCAGCATGGGCTCGGTTCCTGGGACCGACCTCATACCCATTTTGTGCTTATTATAGTTTTCATGCTATAACTTTTAAATTAGTAAGCAAATGTTAACAAAATTTGGCAGATTATCTGTAAACATTACAATGCTTTCATATGCAAAATATTAACTTTTTTAATCAAGTCTTAAGATTTGTAAAGCAATGTTTTTCTAGTGTCTTTTTTCTTTTTGCATGTTGCCTATCTATCATGCAAAGTAATATTCATTTTAATATTAAAAATACTTTTATGCATCAGAAAATTTTGAAATTTCACATGTGAAAT